AAAACGAATATGAGAAAGGTACTGATAATCAACTGGATTGTATACGTACGTAATCCAGGGTATATAAAACCTACAAAATAGTAGTAAAAAACTAAATGAGAAAACTTTAAAATTCTCATCAGACTTTACATTTACATAATGAAATATTATTAGTTCATAGGCATTTGAATAAGCGATCAGATTTCAGGGATGTAAATTAATGGAGCCGTGTATATGTAGAATCTGCATATTATAGTAGGGATAGAGGCGAAAATAACTATTGGTTGGTGGATTAAATCATTGGCTGATATCAGCTAGAGAACCATTGGAAAACTGGCTGAGACGTACTGGATAGCCAGCTGATTCGTCCTAGTTTGGGACTCGTCAACAGTACGCACATACCGACAAGGGTTCGAACCCAGGACCTTCCAGTTACAAGGTGAGTCAGCTCGTAGACCATTAAGCCACTGAGACCCAATTCAATGGCCAGTCCATGAATTGTAACTTTTTCCAATTCATGACATAGCGTGACCACTTCGCAATATCTTCTTCGATGAGTAGTTGTTCTCACCTTCAACTTGCTGTACCTTACTGGTCACAGCTTACTACTACAACCTTAGGTTAACTGGCTGAATAGGGCCAGTCGCAAGTGAGCATACTTGAAAATAACTATTGTCATATAGCGATTAGATAATAAAATTGTTTAAGCCAGAATAAAATGTACAACTACAGCAAATCATGAGATCGATAATACAGTAAGCATACCATATAAAATAAAAACATAATACGACAATATTTACAGTTATCCGGTGTCATCGGGAGAGATAACTATTTCAAGTTGGTGGCGAAGGTCAAGGAAGGGAGAGGGATTGAACCAACATTTTCTGAATACACAGAGTGGTTTGAAAAGTGATTATGACAATTGCCACAGCTAGGCTTAGCAACCTAAGACGTACCAACCTAGGAATTTGAGGTGACATCCTGTATGGAATTTGAAAAGCAGAATTTTTGTCAGTCTTGCGCTCTGTTTTTCCACTAGGTGTGCCAGTATTGAAATTATGATTGACTTTATGACTCCTCTATCTAACTACGTTGAACAATGCTCCTGAAGGCGAAGATAAGGTATCCGAGTCGTTCTACCTATGTAGCTGTCTCCACGTGAACAGTTAAATTTATAAATGCACATTGAAGTTGCCAGACTTAGTAGCTTATTCTTCATCTGCATTGGAACTATACAATGAGTAGTGGATTTTAAACAAAATTTTGCGGCAGAGAATGTTTCAGCTTCGAGTTTTTGAAGTTTTGATGCCAGCAATTCATTCAGTTGCTGCCTCTCCTTTAAACTGTAAAGTCATGTGTATACGCTTTTTCTTGACGATTTGCAGGCAATTCTCCTCATCGAGAATTTAACAAATTTTTCGGGGTATACGTTTTCGTATAAAAAGTTTTCTATTTTCCTTATTTCATCGTCCAGACTGCCGGTGTTGCAGATTATTCCAGCACGATAAATCAAGGTACTGCTAAGATTTCGTTTCTATCCAAGGGGAATAAACGGCTTAAAATTAATGTAATGACCAATCCATGACTTTTTCCGCAAAATATCCCATCTTAATACTACTATCTTGCCTTTTTGTTAACACGATATGAAGAAATGATAAGGTAAATAAAGTATAATTATATTTTAATAGTTCACACACAATGATAAGTTTTGTTATTGGTAATATTTCGAGCAAAATTACTGCCCGTGTTCACACCACTGTTGGAATTGTTTTATTCGAATAAAACAATTCCAACAGTGCTGTAATTTTGCTCGAAATATTACCAATAACAAAACTTATCATTGTGTGTAAACTATTAAAATATAATTATACTTTATTTGATCTAATCCACAATGCTCAAACTTTTTACTGATATAAATGATAAGGTGTTGCCTTTCTCTTTTTCATTTGTGAACTCAATTCGTGGGTGAGCCATACTGAACGTCTGGAGGAGGACCTTGGCATCGATTTTATTATTATGCAAGATAAAAGTATCGTCCATATATCTACGATAGAACGAGAGATGATGGATTAATTTTTTGAGTGCAAGATTCGCTTATTTTGCCATAAAAATATCGGCTATAGGAGGGCCTATATGGGGAGCTGATTGCTACGCCCCCCTCACTTGACGTTAAAATTCATTGTTAAACTGAAATTGAACATTCATCGTACAGCGGAGTAGCAGTTCCCAGGGTGTTCGAGGTGGCATACCTAGGTGCATATCATTTTCTATAAGAGATTCACAAATGAAGTTGGTGGTCTGTAATAAAGGGACATTAATGGACAGGGAGGTGATATCCATAGAGATCATTGTTTTATCTCTGATTTTCTTATCTCTTACTTTGTCTACAAATTCAAACGTGTTCTTCAAACTACGTCTAGCCAATCTAACCTGCAGCAGTTTGAGTATATCTGCCGGCTGTCTTGCTATTTCGTGATATGGTGAGTTAAACGTATCTTATATCAGTCTCATGGGCACGATGAGTTTATAAATTTTAGGTAACACATGCATGATCGTATATTTTATTAACCACATTAATCGAAATGCCCATGACTAATATTTCATCACAAAACCACGTATTTGCTTAAATCGTGTTCTATGCAACTGCAAAAGTCACTAAATACATCAGAGTGGGAGACAAAGAGAGACAAGGTAATAAGTAGCATAAAACTCTGGTTTGCATTTTTTTTCCAGTTTGACAGAGGATCGATATTAGTCAGAGAACCATTGAAAACCAGGATAACGTATTTGACAACTACCTCATCCTAGGCTGGAATTCATCAGCAACAGGAACCTCTCAGTTAAAAAGGGAAGCTCGTAGACCATTCAACTACTGAGACCCGACTCATTGGCCGACCCAAGAATTCTACATTTTACGGATTCATTTGTTTTAGTTTGACTATTAGTCAGTGTTATCGGTGGTAATTATTTGTCCTAACTTCAGACTTAATAATAATAATAATTTTTCCTTCACGTTCCCAGTGGAACATAGGGCTTCAAGCTGGTGGCTTGAAGTTTCTGTAGCAGTGTTTATTTTTACAGGATGGGGTTGCTAGCCTCATGCCCAACCTCTCCTCTTTACCAGCGTTATTTCTGACTCAACGAGGTAAAGGAGTGCGTCGGTCGGGGATCGAACCCCGGACCATGTGCATGGTCGGCAAGCGTCCTAACCGCTGTGCCACCGACGCACAAACTTCAGACTTGATGGGCCCAAATGGTCACAACTTCTCACCAGAAAGAGATTCAGGTAACTTCATCCTATACGCATTCACTAGCGATTACCACATTAGTTTACAAGGCTAAGTTTGTCAGGATTTGATTAGAATAAGGGCTAATAACATTTGCCAATTTGCCTTGGGCTAAAGTAAACCGGGCGAGAGGGAGTTGTACTCAGTACCCAACGGTTTCCGCCAGTGAGTAGTTACATTTCATAAAAGGACTAATTTTACTTTAACACTGAATGTTATTCAAAATAAAAATTCTTTCATTTTAATGCTGCGAGAAGAGTCCCCAACAGTTTTCTAGATATAAGAATGGAACCTGAGGATTGCGGTAGAGTATGAACCGGCCAATCAAAAACACACAGCGATATAGTGATATGAACACAGTTTTCTGCCCATAAGCATATCAGGGTATTCACATAACTTTCAAACTTCATAATTCCATTATTTCTCTATCCCTGACTCATTGGTGTTAATATATTACTTAACTTCAGTATTTGTATTGCATCAATCCTATTGCAAGTGTCCGGTGTAGACTAGACAAGTGAATATTTAATGATCAACCTCTCCTTGAACTCACTTATACGACCTTTTAAGACTCTGCGTGATCTCACTCTACTGTGTGATTGCATGTTAAAGCGTGCATTACAATCTTTGAGTTTTTCTCTAAAATGTTCATCTTTCTTGTGTCAGTCATTACAAGCTCAGTTTAATTCTTTATTTTCCGATAATTTCACTACCCTCGATTTAGTTGACTTTATACTCACCGTCTGCCCAGCCTTTATATCTGAGAAACGGGATATGTTTCCCACTTTTTCGTTTCTGTTTGATGTTGTGACACAAACGGTAGATACAAAAGGCCTATGTTTATGATAGCTTCATATAATTATACGTTTCATATGAGTAAACAAAGACTTTAGAAAGCAATTATTGAGACCAAGATAAATTTTATTTCATTAAAATATCAAAACTTATGAGGTGTGTGGCTTGTTATCGATGGTACAGTGGTTATGACTCTGACACTGACCATACACATAGTTCGAGTTTCGAATCCTTGCCGACGCACACCTGATATCTATGATCGGCCTGCAAAATTTGACCTGCCACTATCACATGCTGAAAATCTCATACATGTACCAAAAATACGGTATGGAATCAAGCTGTGATCAAAAATTTAAAAAATATAATAAAATACTATAATAAAGGATCCATTTTTTATACCTGTTCAGCGTGAAAATGAATTAACGTCACTTGACTCACTCATTCTCAAAGACGTTTGTAAACTGTCACTATGACTCATAAATAATCCACCACTGTTCAATGAATGCGTCGTAGAACTACGGCGATGGAAGTTTTTAAACAATAATGTCACATCAGTGCGCCTTCATAGTTCACAGGTTTCGCGCCACAAGCTCCCCGAAAAAGGAATTTTCAAAGCTTGATCCAGACTTTGGAAAACAACCAACCAGTTAAAACCTAATTCCCCAACGGAAGCAGCTGAACCGAAGGATTCGATAGACGCCGAAAAGACAAGCAGGCGGGAGCACACACACACTACACATTTCCAAGAGTGGAACTCAAATGGGGGGGATAAACCCTAGATAGAGAAAATGAAAGTTTCTGGGCAGTTGTAGAACCATTTAAAGATGATTTCAGGTAATCTTCATTCTCTTTAGAACATGAGGGGTGGATAACAATTATAACACTATAAAACCATGAAAATTTTATACAACTAAATTCATCTAAACACAAAAAACTTACCAAAGGTGATGGTTTATTCAACTTTTGAAAATATTTACTCCTATTCACACCTCCATTTTTATTCCCTGTCTGATTATTTCCGCATTTTGAAGATTTAAACTTGAACGATGAAATACTCGGTAGATATCCACTCAATCCAAATTTTCGATGTCGATATGAGGATGCCGTCGAAGATGAGATATTTCGTGTACTACTATTATTACTACTACTACTATTACAGCCAGTTGATATTGACACAGACGAGGATAAAGAGAATTTTGAGTTGCTTGTAATAAATAACCATTTCCATTTTCTTGGTGATGTTTCATTCAGCGATTTTGGTCGAATGTTGCAGAAATCATCACTTTCAGTTACTTCTTTCGTTGCATATCTTAGACAACTGGCTGTTGAATCACTGACATGTGTAAAATAAGGAGTGCTTTTATTCGAGCAGTCACTTCTACACTTTGTATACTTTTCATCATTTATATTAGTCAGTGATGAATACGATAATAAACGATGCGGCTTAGAGGATTCCTGTGACTGAATTTCATCAAATGATTTACTTCGAATGTGTGGCATATCTTTAAGAACATTTCCACTTTCAAATAATAATAATGGAGATCAATATTATAAACATTGATACTGTATGGAAATGAAGGAGATGGGCATGTTTTCTAGTTCAAAAAATGAAATAAATCCAAAGTATTATTAAGGGAAAATTTTGTTTGATATACAATAAAAGCAAAATGAATAACAAACATCTTTTGGAGTTGTTTACAGAAAATATAACATAATTTAATTGCTTAATTTCTATTGGTTGATGTTGTCGGCCAATCAGACTCGTCCTATAAGGATATTATTCATTCAAAAAGCGGGAGACGCAATAAAGACTATTTTTTAATAGTAAATAAACAGAATGCTTGAAATCTGAAGTTTACAATGCGTATTAGTTTGCCTTTAGGGTATTGTTGATGTGGCAGTAGGATACTCACCATGTGGTCCAATGTCTGATCTCCAACTATACGTACTCCTAAGCTTCTCTAACCTGGTAGTAATCCCGGATAAACTGGGAAGGTTGGGCTTGAGAGTTAAACTGCTGTTGTCGAAACTTCTAAGCTCACGTTTGAATGACACTATGTTCCACGCGCAACGTAATGTAATAAAATTAAAAAGATTTTGCTTCTAATTTCATCGCTAACTTAACTAACAGTTTTAAAGATTCTGCAGGAAGTCAGTATTGCATGAATATATTCCCCCTTTATGAATTTGAACTGAAGCGAGCACGACAGTTTGTATGGAATAAGAGGGTACCATCATTTATTTCTTTGGCTTCTCATCAGCTGCTGACGGCTTGAAGATATTATTAAGTGTATGTAAAGAAACGATTTCATGAGCTGAGCTCATGATGAAATCCTCCATCAAATCGAACAAAATCCCCCACAAAACCAATAGCTGAAAATTAATCCGATGCTCACTAGAGACTGGCCCTATTCAGGCAGTTAACCTGGGGTTCTAGTGAGAAACTGTGACCACTGGGGTACAGCGGGTTGAAGATGAGGCAGTAACTCATTGAAGAAGACATCGCGAAATGGTCGCACTATATCATGAATTGACAGAAGTTAGAATTCAAGGACCAGTGGATTGGGTCCCAGTGGTTCAATGGTCTAAGAGCTCGCCTTGTAACTAGGAGGTCCTGGGTTTGAACCCTCGTCGGTATGTGCGTACTGATAAAGAGTCTCAAACTAGAACGAAACAGTTTTCTAGTACTCCCAGGCTTTCCAGTGCTTCTCTAACTGATGTCATCAGCTCATGATGAAATTCTCCATGCAATCAAACAAAAAATCCCTACAAAGCCAATCAATACTTGAGAAACAATTTGACCATACTTTTAATTTTCTCATGATGGCGGTTGACCAAGAATTCGATATGTGCACAAAATGGTGAAGTAGTTACGTAATGCAGACAAGATGTGTGTAAGATGGTAAATAGCTAATAAATTCACTAGCCAGACACAGCTCTTTCTGAACAAATAAACTGAATTCCAAGTTTTTCGTAGAAAGTATTTCTACAAACTTGATCGTTTTTTAAGGATTTTGCAGTGTACACCTCATGACCCGTATCAAGGAGATGCGTGTTAGCAGTACCACTGAAAGCGTTAATTTCTATTTGAGACGATGGGTTTTTGGCACATGTTCAGAAAATCCGGAGTATGCCCCTCCTTATGTTTTTCTGGTGAAACAGCGCCCACAGATACATGCAAATTTGTATACACAGAGTTAATAGGAGGAGGCTGTAAGCATCTGATGAGAAGCCAAAAAATTAAATGATAGTACAATCTTATTCAGCACAAACCGTTGTTCATGCTTTATTCACCTAAGAATATAGACTTAGTTTTCACTGTAGGTATTATCCAAGCATCTGAACTCATGGCTTTGCAGGCTAGAAGATTTTTTAACTATAGCTTGATTCCATGCAGTATTTAAGTACAAGTATCCGATTCTCAGCCTGTGATACCGCTAGCCCAAATTAAGCAGGCCAACCATTGATATCAGGTGTGCGTTGGTTGGGAATCGAACCGTTTGCATTGTCGGCGAGCGTCCCAACCACAGTGCCACCAACGCACAATTCACATAATGGTACACAAATTGACTGGGTATTGGTTTTCAGGAGAACTGAACACACCTATCGCTGCCCGCTGCGATGCGAGATCGGCATGCAGTATCATCCTGTAGCGCAACCACTCGAGAGCCTTCTTCCTTGGCGGACTGTTATGAACTGACTAGTAAATCCCATAGTCAAAAATATTACACCATTATGGCATGGAATCAAGGAGTCTGATATACGCCACTGTCTATTACCACCGGTTAAAAAGGTTAATCAAGCAGAAAATACACCTACAATTACTAAGATTAAGTGTTTTGTACGGATTTGGACTAGTTCCAATGTAGGTAACATCATGATACAAAATCAATTATGAAATCATGAAGAACGGAGAAGCACTGGGCAGCTCACTCGTCCCAGTTCCGGGATATTTTTAGCAATGAGCACTCACGATCCTGCCCACGACGTTACGAGTACGAGGCCAGCTAGTTAACTAGCCAATAAATAGTGGGTTCTAACATTTGTCAATTCGTGTCACAGCTCTATCTTCAGTCAACAGTATGGATGAGCAAATAATTTACCTTTTTACGGTTGACTTTACAGGCCACCACTCACAGTACGGAGTTTCCTGGAGTTCTAGTGAGAAGTTGTGACCAGTTAAGTCTATCCAGCCAAGTGTGAGGATGGATGTCCCACCGATGACGTTGGTTGGTAGTCGCTCTAAATCATAAATTGGTAGAAGTTAGAATTCATGGACTGGCCACTGGATTTGGTCCCAGTGGCTGAATGGTATACGGGCTAGCTTGCCTTGTAAGTGGAAGGTCCTGGGTTCCAAACATGGTGGTGGGTGCGTGCTGCCGATAATCCCCAAACTAGGACGAAACCACTGTCTAGTAGTCCAGGGTTGGTTTTCAATGGTTCTCTAACTGATATCGATCCGTGGCCAACTCGCAATTTTAAAGTAATGAAATGCTGTAACCAATCAATTCAAATCTCTGCAAATCAACACTTGATTATCAGTGAGATGCTCACTAGTGATTGGCCGTATTCAGGTAGGGAGTTACCTCGGTTCTAGTTGTAAGTCGTGACCAATGGCGTACAACAGGTTTGGTGTGAAGACAAATACTCTCCAGCGATGACATTCGCTAGTGGTCTCGCCATATCATGAATTGGCAGAAGTTAGAATTCATGAGCTGGCCAATGGCTTAATGATCTATGAGCTGCTCGCCTTGGAGCCAGAACGTCCTGGGTTGGAATCCTGATGGTTGGTGCGTACTGATGAAGAGTCCCAGGTTTTTCAATCGTTCTCTAACCGATGTCAGTTCATGATGAAGTCCCTGAAAACCAACACTTGAGTAATTGTAATATTAATTAATTCACAAGTCGATATCAGTCAGGGAAGCATTGAGAATCAGGTAGTTTTGGTTTTGGACTCTTCTCCAGTGTACACCGACGATCTGAAATGGTTGTATACCATCTAAAGTAACATTCCAAATTAAGTGGTGTTTTCAGTATTAACATAACGCTTTCACCTATCCCTTCAGCTGATAAATGTGGAGGACACCTGAGATCATTATGGTGTCTCGTTTCCATGATTGATAGGCTTTTAAATTTGCCTAGTAACTTTTTTTCCCAACGACATTCCTGATTGTCTACATTCGCTTTTAGAATTAGAGAAAAAAAGCTCACTCCCAATCAATCTTTTCATCCTAAATTTTGAAACATCTCATCACCACTTTGCTTATGTGACACACTTTTAAACAATGTCTCGATTAGAAATGATTCCAGGGATTTAATAATTGTTCAGGGAATAATACTTTTAAACTGCAGTTTAAATTCTTAATTCTTGCAGAATCCAGGTCAAAACATTTTTTACTAGAATGATAAAACAATAGGAAGTTATCAGAGAAAAAGGTTGTGTATTTAGCGTGTGTAAATTGCTAACCTAAAACAGAATCAGATAAATAGATCAAGGGTTTGCCGACAATGCTTTAAAGCTGTGGAGGCCGAAAAAATATCAAATTATACGTTCATTGTTAAATAGTAAGAATAATGAATTCACTGCACTTTATAGTTGTTAACTGAGATTGAATAAGGACACTTGCAGTACAGGCGGCACAAATCCCCTCTCCAGCTACTTACTTGCCACTATTGCCAGTCATTTTTGACTGGTACGTGATCCGTACATCCATATTCAGATTCTTTGCTTCAATCTCGTTTTCATCACCGCAAGTATTCTCGGGTGGGCCTTTGGCATGCTCTTAAATAGAGTGAGCAAGTGTATACCCAATAAAGGACTACCTTCTCACTATAATTCTGTACGTCTTTATTTATTACTTTTTATTTCCCAGTTTTGTATCAATGGGATTTCCTTTTCTTATTATTATTATTCCCTTAGGTTCCGTGTGGAACATAGATCTTCAACAACACATTCAAACTTTCTTCGATTCTCTGCTATCCTCCTCAGCTGCTCATAATCTCTCATCTCCTCCTCCAAATCAGGCGATCTCCTCCATGTCACCCTCGTGACCACGACATACTCGTCGCTTACCATTCACTTTTCACTTGAGAGATGGTCTGCATTGCGCACAATGCCATTCGATGGCCTTCCCAAAATATGCCTAATCCATTTCCAATTACTCCTACATATTTGTATGGAGGATTTAATCATGAGCTGATATCAGTTAGAGAACCACTGGAAAACCTGTGAGTACTGGACAGCTGTTTCGTCATAGTTTGGGACTCCTCAGCAGTACGCACATACCGACAAGGGTTCGAACCCAGGACCTTCTGGTTGCAAGGCGAGCTCTTAGACCATTGAACCACTGGGACCCAATCCACTGGTCCTTGAATTCTAACTTCTGTCAATTCATGAAAGATAGTGCGACCACTTCGCAACGTCTTCTTCAATGAGTTACTGCCTCATCTTCAACCCGCTGTACCCCAGTGGTCACAGTTTCTCACTAGAACCCCAGGTTAACTGCCTGAATAGTGCCAGTCGCTAGTGAGCATCAGATTAATTTTCAAGTGTTGGTTTTGTAGGAATTTGGTTTGATTGTATGGAGGATTTAATCATGAGCTGACATATTTGTTGAGCAATCGACTCTCACCTGTTTGTTTAATCCCAGCCAGAGTTTTTTATTGTTAATTCTTTCTGGCCCACTGGC